GGACCCCATCTCTACAAAAAATAATTTAAAAAAATAAAATGGAATAACAAGGACTGAAAAAAGATACATGTTAAAACTCAATATGTGGATTTAGCATCAGAATAGACTTACAGAGAGTCAAAAGTGAAATAGAAAATAAATCAATAGAAGATATCCAGAATGAAATAAGGAGATACAAGAGGAAAGAAATAGAGGAAAATCATGAGACATGGGCTATAGAAGCAAAGGATAACACACGGGATTGCGTTCCCAGCAATGGAGGTGTGAGGAAACAGGCAGAAGAAATCACAGCAGAGAAGTTTCCAGAACAGATTAGACAGGAAGGCCTGTGACTCCCAAGTAAGCAAACAACAAAAACAATACTCTGGTACAGCAATCACAGTGAACCTACAGAAAACCAAAGATGAGAACAGCCTAACCCCAGAGCCCGTGGCCGCAGCCGACCTCAGCATCTCTCTTCTCACGGTTCCGCATCCATGCCCGGGCCACACCAAGGCCATGCTGTTCTTCACACAGACTCCAGACCTTCCCACCTTTCTCACCTTCGTACCTTCTACCCTGCACCTTCGCAATACTCAGAACTCACGACTGACAGTGCTCATCGACTGACAGTCCTGTCTGCAGGGGTGCCCAGATCGTATATTACCTGCAAGTGCTACTTCAAATTTAAAACTAAAAAGAAAATAAAGTCATTAGGGCCACGAGACACACCTGAGTTTCAAATCATTTTCCTCACTACGGAAATAGCATGTAGCCTGGCTCACGTGAAAACATAAAAGTGTCAGGCCCAGACCTTACCATTCTCCATTCCAGTAGAGGCATTGCTTCAGTCATTAGCTGGTGAAGGATATTTCCTGTAAACTTTCCTTTTTTCAACATTAATATTCAATTACAAGATTTTTTTTCTTTAGGAAATAGAAACAATTTTGTGCTTAATAGAATCTAATACTTTAATATATCCTTATACATAAAAATATGTGGCATGCGCCTGTAGTCCCAGCTACTCAGGAGGCTGAGGCAGGAGAATTGCTTGAACCCGGGAGGCAGAGGTTGCAGTGAACCAACATTGTGCCATTGCACTCCAGCCTGGGTGACAGAGCGAGACTCCATCTCAAAAAAAAAAAAAAAAAAAAAGAGGCCATGTTAAGTTCCAATTTCAGTTTAATACAGATTATCATTCAATCCTTTCACAATTCCACTGTATACTTTTAAAATCAGGAAACTAAATTTTAGTGTTTCTGTTGACTCATTACAGCATATCAACATAAACTTCTCTCCCCATGCTCATATCAAAAGATCTCAAACTACTGGGAAGTTGTATATTTAAAATTTAATGTTGCTGGCTGGGCACTGTGGCTCAAACCTCTAATTCCAGCACTTTGGGAGGGCCAAGGAGGGCAGATCACTTGAGGTCAGGAGTTCGAGACCAGCCTAGTCAACATGGTGAAACCCCATCTCTACAAAAAACTTAAAAAACTAGCCAGGCGTGCTGGCGGGTGCCTGTTGTCCCAGCTACTCAGGAGGCTGGGGCAGGAGAATCACTGAAATTCAGGAGGTGGAGGTTGCAGTGAGCCGAGATCACGCCAGTACACTCCAGCCTGGGCGACAGAGTGATACTATGTCTCGAAAAAATAAAATAAAATAAATTTAGTGTTACCTTTTAAAAATTTGTATTGTTCTTCCTTCTAACCTGTGAAATAATAAATGATGGTCCTTCATCTATATTGCTATCTAAATTTGTGCCCCTAAAAAACTCACTCAACCTTTAAGCAAACAAATCAGGACTTTTTTTTTTTGAGTTGGAGTCTCACTCTGTTGCCCAGGCTGAGTGCAGTGGCGTGATCTCAGCTCACTGCAAGCTCCACCTCCTGGGTTCACACCATTCTCCTGCCTCAGCGTCCCAAGTAGCTGGGACTACAGGCACCTGCCACCACGCCTGGCTAATTTTTTGTATTTTTAGTAGAGATGGAGTTTCACCCTGTTAACCAGGATGGTCTTGATCTCCTGACCTAGTGATCTGCCCGCCTCGGCCTCCCAAAGTGCTGGGATTACAGGTGTGAGCCACCATATCCAGCCCACAAATCAGGACTTTAAGCCTTTGTCTTTAATTTTAGAGTCTAAAAACGAAACAAGTTTACATGAGAGGTGTTTAGAAACAAATGAAACTTCTTCTAGGATAAATCACTTGTTTAAATTCTGCTGAAGTCCCAAGGCAGTAGTTTCCAAACTTTGCTTTGCATTAGAATCACCTCAGGAGTTTAAAAAAATCCTAGTGGCCAGGGTATACCCCGTATTAATGACACCAGCATGTCTGGGATTGGGGCCAAGGGGCCATGTACCTTACAGATCCCCAGCTGAGTCCAATGAGCAGCCCAGTCAGGAAGCACTACCCTAGGGCATTAGGAGTTTTTGATTCATTCAAGCAAAGGCTGTGTGGTGAACTGTAATAAGGAATGGATTAGGAAGAAAATCCTGTGAAAGAGGAGAAACCTAGGTCTTGTTCCTTCTGCTATTGGCGAGACGCAATACAGAAGGTGGATTATTCGCCCTCACTAGGTGTTCATCTCCTCCGTGTTAAGGACGGGGTGCTGCACTGGGCTGGGGAGCTGCTGGCCAGGAGGGTCTCAAGTGGGCCAGAGAATCTGCATTTATTTATTTTTGAGACAGAGTCTCACTCTGTCGCCCAGGCTGGAGTGCAGTGGCATGATCTCAACTCATTGCAACCTCCCCTTCCTGGGTTCAGGTGATTCTCCCACCTCAGCCTCCTGAGCAGCTGGAATTACAGGTGCCCACCACCAGGCCTGGCCAATTTTTGTGTTTTTTGTAGAGACGGGATTTTGCCATGTTGGCTAGGCTGGTCTCGAATTCCTGAACTCAAGTGATCTGCCCGCCCCAGAGTGCTGAGATTACAGGCATGAGCCACCATGCCCGGCCCAGAAAATCTGCATTTAAAACCTGCTTTGAGTGATTCTTCACACAGAACCAGAAGTGGTGGATCCCTTTCAGAAATGACATTCTAAATTATGAGGGCAAAGTTTATTAATATGCTTAAAATATTTTTAAAAGAAGACTTAAATTTGAGCAAGTTAGGCAGTTCAATCTATGAAAATATTTTAGTTCCTGAGCACAGCAGTTGAAGGCAGATATGGAGGTGTGTATTTGTAATTTTGTATTTTGCCTCCCTCTCTGAGCACTCATTCTTTTTTCATTACTCAAGACAATAACACCACCTTATATTCATGGAGCAATTACTATTTGATCTACAGAAGAAGGTCAAACGGGTACCCATCTCCCATCCATATGCCATTTACAGTGAGATGCCTCATAAGGAAGAAGGGGCCACGCTCCCGCCCAGGATGCCTGTCCCTAACCCAGGGCTTCCACAGACCAAGCCCATCAGGTCCAGGGCTATCCCAGGCACAGGGCGGCAATACCACTCATCTGAAATAGTAACTTCCACTGTGGGCAAATGAGAAAGTCAAACCTCGTGCCTTTTGATCACACAGGACGGAGTATTTTTATGGTGAGTAACAAGTAACTCAACACTCAATGTTTACTGAGCACTTAAAAAAAAAATGCCAGACATGGTACAACGTAGAGTCCCAATAGAGAGGAGAGGTACCACCGCTTCCCTGGGCAGACACTGGCAGAGGGTAAAGGGTCAGTAAAGCGGGAGGGCACAAAGCAGAGCTGTGGACCAGCTGCCATGGGACGCATCGGCAGGAGAGGTACGGGAACGGTAGTAGATGCAGAGGAAACTGATTCTTTCTTTCTTTCCAAAGGAACTAGGTCAAGTGGCTATGCAGCAGTAGGAAGAAGACTGAGAAACAGGGATGCAAAACACAAACTCAGCCACGGTGTCGCCAGCATTCTAGGAAGGGCCCCACCCCTGGGAGGCAGCACGCTGAACAGGTCCCGCAGGCTGCAGTGGAGTCAGAGTGCGCAACGCCATTGTAGAGCAGGTGCCTTGGTGTTGCCACTGCCACAAATATGTTACAGGACCCCAACAGTCTCTCTCTCTCTCTCTCTCTCCCCACATCTGTTGCTTTACCTGAAATAGGATTCCTTTCAATTTTTTTGTTGCACTTTTTTTCTGAGACAAACCAGAAAGCACGAGTAAAGAAATCTAAGTTTCTGTAAGTTACTGCCACCTTTCATGAAATTTGTGTAATTTTAAATGTCTTTTAACCATTGCCAAGATAAGAAGCAAAGGAGTCAGGTTTCTCTTCCACAGGTCAAATGCAGCTGCCCATCTGTTCAAGCCTGAGTATCAGGACCTGGAAGCCCCATGCAGACCCGTCTACTCTGTCATTCTTTTCATCTGTTGCTTTTCAATCGGTATGGTTTTTCCCTACCATTTTGAATTCAGGTTTCACTACATTATACTTCCTTGGCCTCATAAAAATGAGGCACAAGGTATAATATAGAATGGCTAATTTTAAATTTAAGCAATGCAAGTAGATATTGAATGATCAAAAACTTCAAAATCCTCGTTATATTACTCATGTAAGAGGATAAGGGGAGTTTTTTAGAGGAAGAGCAAGGTTTTAAAGCCAAAACCACAAAGGAAAGGGTGTACCTGAGTGTTAGTATATAAACCTTTCACTCTGATGGCTTGAGGTCAAACCTTGGTTAGTTCAAAAGTGAATGAATGTTTGGATTCTTCACCTCCTACCTAGTAAATATTTATTCCGATTATAAAATGGCAAGAAACACTAGCATAACCAACATTCTCTGCTTGAGAGAAGCTACAGGCATTTTTACAAGAAATGCATTAGCAAAGTGATATGAGAAAGCTTGGTCTATCCATAATAACTCTTTGTCCGGAATGCAACCAACGCTTTCAGTTTCATATTCTGAGTTTTCCAGCATTTACCCATAATCAATTTTTTAAAATAAAACACAAGTCGGATAGACTAGTTTATGTTTCATTGACCCAGAGAAGAACATTATGATGTATCAGCATTTGAAAGTTTAAAATAATATTTTTACACACTGACCTTTTTGCCTTTCCCACTTTTCTTCAATTCCTCATGAGGTTTGATGAGGTCCTTAAAGCTGTCACATGAGCCATCTAAAACATCATGCCTTGTTGGTCTATTTTTAACACCTAAAACCCAAGTGGATTAAAGATAAGTTAGAACTTTACATGGACTAAATACTACTTAAGCAAAACAAAAATCACATTTATGCATAATGGAAACAGGAAGTTATAGGCCTTTTAAATAAATTGTATATGTTTTGCTTTTTGAGATCTATCTAGAACTTTCAGCTTATTACATTCCAGTATCCTAAGCAATTCACTTAACTCAATGGTCAGTAACAATCAGGTTACAATGTTCTACAGCATCAACTCTGTCCATTTGATAATGCAAGAAAATGTATACCCATACCTTATGTACTCTTCAAACTTCAATTCTTAGATTTTAAAATAATGACAAAGAACAGCTCTTCAGAGTAGGCAGTTCTATATTAGAGGCAATAATTAAGTTTTGGGGTCAGTTTGAGATTTTTCTAGAAATTAGTCTTCAGTACAGAGCTTCAGGCTTCAACCTACAAATGATGGATGATTTTACTCCCCCCAAGTTTCCACCTTAGACCAGCGTCTTGCCATGAAGACACACAAACCAAAAGGATACTCATTCAAGTGAAATATGGTTTCCTTAGATGCTAACCTGCGTAGACCTAAATAACCCACAACAAAATGTGAAATGTGTACTTTGATTTGACTCATCTACTGCCTCAGAGGGTGCTTCTTACTCTCACCCTTCCTGCTCCTTCAAACAGTTTGCCTACTTTATGACTTAGATGGGATTTTGAAGGAGGAGCTACCATGGACCATAACATGGTCTCAATGGTATAAATGCAAACTTGGATGCAAAAGTTATGTAGCAGCCTAGCGGGTACTAGAACCTGCTAGTCAGGTGATAGCTAAACTGCATTGTTGATTACCTAATGATTAACAAATAGCTAATGATCTACCCACTGGAGATGCAAAATGCACAAGATATAGTCCCACTCTTAGGGAGCTCACAACCCGATAGACAATGTAGACATAGACGAATAAATATAATGCAAGGTGAAATTAACATCAGTGCCCTCAGAAATTAAAAATCATATAACATGAGAAAGACTTCTTTGCAGATAAAATTCTATAAAGCCAGCTATAACTAAGTTTGGAGACTCTAAGGTAAAAACTGTCACTCTTTTCAAAAACAGGGTCCTATCTAAGTGAAAAAGGATGCAGAATAAAAATGTTAATACTTTCCTGAATTCAAGCTAGTTGTTATTTGCAGCCTGGGCCCTGGACAGATTTTAAGGTCCAGTTCTAAACCACAAACCTACCAACCTACACTCTTTGCCATAATTCCTAATACTGAATCCCCTGGAGACTCAAACCAGTCACATCCTGACTGATCCCGCACCTCCTCAGGTATCCTTTATGGTCGACTTGCACTGACTTTTCTCCCAGGCCCACTTTATCCCCTAGGGTAGAATATGAATGCAATCTTTTTCATTTTTAAGATTAAAAATAATTATAATTATATCTACTATGCACTTATTTTTCTTTTTAAATAATAATATTTACTTGCAGCATGAGTGTGTCAAAATCAGAAAAGCAGTGGACTAGAGATATAATTTGGGATACAGTGCTGTTATTGAAACATGAATAAATTTGCAGCTTCCTAGTGTAGTCAATGAAAGTTTTGTAACAGCCACTTGCCTCAGTTCTTGCCGAACAACGAAACAGGCTGTAAAGCATTTTATAAACATAAAGTTCTAGGAAATGCAACACGATCTTTAAAAACTTCAGACAGACTGATACTGTTAACAACACGTTTTCACAATTTCACAAATCCTGCAGTCAAAAAATAATCTAAGTAAATGATTTATTAATTGGTTATTGAAAACATTTCATAAACTCTGCCACAGTAATTTGCCAGTGTGTTTTAACAATGACCTCAGTAAACCCAACGCAGTTGAGAGTGCAAATTACTTCTGAAAACATCCGTGGAAAGATTAGCTGGACTCCATTGTTGGCTGGAAGTCTGCAAACAAACACCTACTCTCCTCTTCCTGACTCTCCCACTTCTTGGATGACTCTTTTCGTGTATGCTCCTAAGTGTGGTTTTTTTCATGGGTTGTCATCAGCTCCCTTGTCACTCCCCAAGGTGATTTCATCACTTCCCATAAACTCATCCATTACTGAAGAGACCTAATTCTCTGTACCTTGTCCAGACCTCCCAGCTGAGGTACGGCTGGATATATCCAACTACCTAATGGACATCTATTTTGAATGTCTCCAAGAAATTCCGACTAACATGCACCCTTTAGCTGCTCTTCCTCCAACACACCCCAGTTGGATGAATGTCCGTCTTCTTCGGCTGGGGCTACCACAACAAAATACCATAGATTGGGTGGCCTGAAGGCCGAGATCAGGGTGCCCCCATGGTCAGGTTCCGGTGAAGGCTCTCTTTCTGGCTTAAAGGAAGCTATCTTCTTGCTGTCTTCACATGGCATAGCTAGAGGAAGCCAGTTCTCTGGTGTCTTTTTATAATGGTCCTAATCCCATCATGAAGCTCCTACCTTTAAGACCTCATCTAAACCTAATTACCTAATTATCTCCCAAAGATCGCCCTCTCCAAATGCTATCCCATTGAGGGTTAGAGCTTCAATAAATAAATGTGGGGGTCAGAGGACACAATTCGGTCCACAGCATTTCCCTGTGAAAGCATGTATCTTCCTCTCTCATTTTCCTCCCAACCTCATTACACACACAATTCATTGACTTCGTTTTCACAAAATGATCATATACAGAAATGAATCTGACAGCCCCCACATTTTCATCTTTCAGTTATCTGAAATTTCACCATTTGGAAATTAGTTTGGATTAATAATACCAACAAAATGCAAACACATCAATGAAAGCTAGTAAATGGTCACTCATTCACCTCTCAGTGTGAATTAGTTAAATCACAACCTTCAGCTACTCAACAGAGATAAGCAAGATTAAGGAAAAGTATTGATACTCAGGGAAGAGAGAAGAAAATGTCTAATATGATCACTTTGGAGCCAGAACCAGGCCAAGACAGTATAAGGACACAGGTAACTGAAATACTAGGAAAGGGAGAGATGAAGAAGTGGACATTGAAAAGACTATAGGAGAAACTTGGCTCATGTCTAATTTTGTCTAGAGCTAAAGCTGAAGAAATAACTCTTATTTTTAACATTTATTTTCCTCCACATCCTACTTCCAAGATACAGAATTAAGACTAACAATGCTAATACTAATAATACATTTAAACAATTAGCATTTACTCATACAAGGCACTATGCAAGAGTCAAGGGTTGAAAAGGCTTCTGAAGGCTGAATAATCCATAATTTTAACATGTAAAAATATACACTTAACATTATCCAATAAGAAATTTCTTCTAAGCTTCAAAAATTTGAATATGAAATTATTTAACAATGTAGTATGCAAAATATTAAGACTGGAAAGAACCTTAGAAGACACCTAGGAAAAATTCCTTTCCAGAGATACCTTTGGGATATATGCAAGTTGTACGGGTTCTACACAAGTAAAATCCTGCTAACAAGAGACTGTACTCATACTCATCTATTAAAATATCAAGTTCACTTTGTTCACTCTGAAAAAGACAGAAACAACACTCTTCAATAGATAATGTGAAATTTTATCCTTTGTAATCATTGTAGAGATCATTACAATATCAATTTTATGTGTGTAAATTTGTTTTAATTCCCACTGAAAGTAATTGCTCTGACTTTTGAATTTCCCGATACTTGTGTGTAAAGTATCTTGACTGTATCTTCTCTACTTAGCTAAGTTCTTTAAAGCAAAGGGTTAGAGCTTTCTATTAACCTAACCTCTCACTGTTTATACATTGGACACAGTAGATACGGAGTAAACATCTGATTGATAAAAAGTGAATACGTAAATGAATGAATCAACCAAACAGTTAAATGGTCAATAGCCTTCTGTTAAGACTGACTAACCCACACCAAGTTGCTAGGATTGCTTAATTTTGCAGCCCCAGTGAGTTGGGCTGGCAGACTATAGGAAAGGGGGTTCTTAATACACTTATGAATTATTTGAATAGTCAAAAGTGCAACAATTTAATGTACTTAATGAATATATGTATATCTATTTATTTGCTACAATAGTAATTCACAGTTCCTCTGGAATGCTCAGAATTTGCAAAATGTATTATACCATAGGCTGGGCACAGTGGCTCACAACTGTAATCCCAGCACTTTGGGAGGCAGAGGCAGGCAGATTACATGAGCTCAGAAGTTGGAGACCAGCCTGGGGAACATAGCCAGGTGTGGTAGCCTGCATCTGTAGTCCCAGCTACTCAGGATGCTGAGGTGGGAGGATCGCTTGAGAACAGTAAGTTGAGGCTGCAGTGAGCTGCGATCATGTCATTGCACTCCAGTTTGGGTGACAGAGTGAGACCCTATCTCAAAACAACAACAAAAAAACCCCAACTCCTATAAATCCTCCAGACCAATATTAGATGCTTTGTTAAAAGCCAAAATGGATGACAAAAATGAGTGGTCATCAGTGACATCATCAGCTTGTTAATCAGCATAATGGATGTGAGAAACAGTTTCTTGTTGGTTAAATTCATGGATTCATGGATTCAAGAACACTTAAATATTGCAGGGGACCCAATATCCACACATAACAGAGCATAAACATCTCGTATGAGTTGTGGCTGGTATCCCTGGGGGTGGTATCCAAGGCAAACCTTTCAGATAAGGTATGGACACTCCACTAAAGGACAGAGAACTCGGCCTTTAGCATATTGGTCACTTTTGTGGACCACTTCCTAACTGCTTGCCAATAAATGTTTAATAAATGTCTTTCTGAGACTTGCCTTCAACAAGATCAGGTAGATAGATGGTAGAAGAGTAGTTAACCATCATCAACCTCCAACGACTTCTGACTATTATCGATGAACAAGACCCTGGTAGTTGGACATGACCAAATTGCTCAGATTAGCTCACAACACATGTGTACAAGGTGCTGACATGTAAAAATCCATCAACACAACAAAGAAGAAAATCTATCAAACCCATGGATAAGTGGGGTGTGGGAAGGACTTTTCTGCTTTTGCTAGTGAACACACAGCACCTATGGGACCACTGTGTTTCCTTCATTAGTGAAAAGTAATTAGGTGCCAAGCTGTGTACTAGTTCAGGATGACCAATCGGCTTTATCTGCTTGACAATTCAAACAGATATTCCGGTGGTTGAAGAGCTATGATTGGCAGTGCCAAGGGGCAGGTGGGACACATTTCCACAAATAAGCAACAACAATTCTCTCTTTGGCTGTCAAAGGTTAAAACAAGAAGTGGGATCTCCATTTCCATGCAAACTGTCTGCTGGCTGTGGACATATTGCCTAAGCCCAAACTTTAGCAGGCTGAGGCTGCAGTGAGCTGTGATCATGTCACTGCACTCCAGTTTGGCTGACAGAGTGAGACCCTATCTCAAAACAACAACAGACTGAGTGCAAGAGCAAAGGGAATTTCCTTTTTTTTTTTTTTTTTGAGACGGAGTTTCACTCTTGTTGCCCGGGCTGGAATGCAGTGGCGCGATCTCGGCTCACCGCAACCTCCATCTCCCGGGTTCAAGTGATTCTGCTGCCTCAGCCTCCCAAGTAGCTGAGATTACAGGCATGTGCCACCATGCCCAGCTAATTTTGTAATTTTAGTAGAAATGGGGTTTAACTATGTTGATCAGGTTGGTCTTGAACTCCTGACAAGTGATCCACCCACCTCGGCCTCCCAAAGTGCTGGGATTACAGGTGTGAGCCACCATGCCTGGCCGGAATTTCTTATTTCAAAACCCATTTGACTGCACAATTGAGGAGCTTCAACCTATTTTTCAATTGCAAGTGATAAATCTGCAATATAAGGACATGCTAAGAGGCAGGCACCGAGAGAAGAATCTAAGAGAATTCCATCAGTGTTTTCCAGGCTATGAAGATCCTCAATGCAAATCTGCTTGTGGACTGACATCGAATCAGCAGTATCTGTCTGTGGGAAAAAGCATTTTCAAAAGTGAAATACATAAAATCTATCTTATTACATATCAGCCTTAATAAACATTTGCAATCAATGTTAATGTGAACACTCAGTCTGAACTCCAATTAAATGAAATGTTGTAATTCCCCCCCACAAATTATTTTTTTTCTCAATAGACCTGTATTACAAAAAAATTGTATTTGAGTTTCATCAATAAAAATTTTGTAGAAAATGTCTTTTTCTCATTATGTAATCATCTACATGAGTACCCACATACCTCGATTTGGTCTCTTTGCCCACAAAGCCTAACGAACTTACTATCTGATCTGTTACAAAAAAATTGTGCTGACCTTACATATAGACTGTATTAAAAAATGAAGGTTTACTGGTACCAATATGTAAATATATGACATATTGCTTTTGTAAAAAGCAATTTTTAAGGCAATATAATTCTATGTATGCAAAAAATTATCTTAAAATACCTATTTGCATTTGTATGCTTGTAGACACACACACACACACAAAAGAAATGTGTGGAAGGAAATATTAAACTGTGGGACAGTGACTGCTTTGTGCAGACAAACACTCCAACTCAGTCTGTTCTCCAGTGTCCAGGGTTACATTTAAAACCTAAATCAGATTTGGTTGCTCCCCTGTTCCAAAGCTCCAATGGCTTCTCACCACACTTCAAAACAAAACAGCTGCCCACTTTGTCAGACACTGAAGGTCCCAAAGCTCTGGCTCCTACCCCTCTCCAATCTCCTTCCTCCAGTTCAGGAAGTCCTTGCTGTACTGGCTTCCCTGTCATTCCTGCAAGCATTTTTCTCCATCAGGACATTTGTTCCTGCTGTTACCTCCAGCTGAAACATGGATTTTGAGAGTCACAGGCTCCCTCTCCCTCCCCAGGCCTGTGATCGGATGTCTCCTTCTCAGGGAAGCCTTCATTTGTCACCTTATCTATCCAATGCACTATTGTTTTTCTTTTAATCATTAACTGCTTGCTGACACTGTTACACACTTATTTACTATTTGTCTTCCTCTATGAGGGTGCACGCTGCTTCATTCTCTGCTATGTCCCCACAAACTTGAAGAACACCTGAGACACAACGGGTCCACGACTTTCACTAGTTAGGAAGTGAACTAACGAAAAGAGGCAAGTGAGGAGATGGAAATTCTAATCTTCTTAGCAATCTTTGTTACAATGGGAATGTATCTGTGTACTGTTTATAAAATTAGAGAATAAAAAAGTAAAACAGAAAAGAATTAATGATTTTAAAGATTTTAGAAAACAAAATTGTTGGCCGGGTGCAGTGGCTCACGCCTGTAATCCCAACACTTTGGGAAGCCGAGGTGGGTAGATCACGAGTTCAGGAGTTCAAGACCAGCATGGCCAAGATGTGAAACCCTGTCTCTACTAAAAATACAACAAAATCAGCTGGGCATGGTGACGGGTGCCTGTAATCCCAGCTACTCGGGAGGCTGAGGCAGAGAATTGCTTACACTTGGGAGGCGGAGGTTGCAGTGAGCCAAAATCGTGCCACCGCACTCCAACCTGGGCAACAGAGCAAGACTACGTCTCAAAAAACAAAAACAAAACAAAACCAAAATTGTTTCTCCCTCAGTTCCCATTCTACTAATGTACTGAAGCTCTTTGTAACTTGTTTTTGAAACCTTTTTTACACACTATCTTAGATATTGACAATGGCAACAAGTAAAAGTGAACTGAAAACAGAAATGGAAAAAAGCCCTTTATTTTGACATTAAAGATTTGGAGGTACAGTTTGCTGTACAGAAGTTTTCACTTCTCCACAATTTCACCAGGTATAGAGTGTGCATCCTTGACATTGAAACTGAAGGCCTTATGGTTTCATCTTGTAAGGCAGATTCCCAAAGAGAATTGGTTTACCTGAGTCCCAGGGGGCTGACAGTGGACAGGTTAAAACATTGATGACTCTTTATTACTATAAAAGAAAAGGGTTAGATTTAGGCTAACCAACATGTAAGCCTTTTTATGTCCTAGAACCCAATGATTTCCCATCTCTCTGTAATGGCATGAAGTAAGGCAGATGACTCTAGAAGATCCTCTTAACGCTAGGGCACACAGTTGCACCAGGGCCCTGTCTGGACACTCCTGCCTGATGGCCTGCACCACTGAGCGAAAAAACCTCTCCATCTCCACCAGGGTGCCATGGGTCAACCAGTGCTGGCCCCTCATCCCCTTCTACTTACCCCCACCGCCGGAGGCTGTTGACGCAGGGGGCAGTGTTCTAGAACATAAAACACAACTGCTTCTGAGGACTAGCACACTCCCGACAACATGGGGATTTTAGGCCATGCCATACTGTTTGCTACCAGCTTTTTGCCACTTAATTAACATTTGCATGTCATTATTATTCAAAAGCTTAAAAAATACACAAGATGAAAACTGGAAAGAAGGAGAATGTAAACTTCAGAACGGGATATTCTTAACTACCAAAAGAATTTTACACATCTATTGTTTTATATTAACTTTTGAGTTAACATTTTAAAATAAATATTTTGAAAACACATACTAAGGCTAATGGAACATAAAATACAGTTTCTTGTCAAATTTAATATATGTTCAGAAAACCAAGATATAAATAGCAGGCTAAAAATACACAAAAGTATTTTCATCCTTTTTGTGAAACAATTTTGGGGAGTGTATACTCAAGGAAAAGGTATGTAACACATCTGTGATGATTTCAAACCCTGCTGTGACTTCTCCACCTTCAAAGAGGCAGTTAACACATTTGTAAAGCAGAGAAATCACGCAGAGTGAATGCGTTCTTACTCAAATTTTAACCTAATCTTTAGGTAAAGACAGTCAAAGTTTAAGATTTCTTCAATTTCGGTTGCTGGAACCTATTTGTGCTTGTAACTGTGAAGTGCAAAATTTTTTATTGTTGTGACTTTTGCTACAATGATATAGTTTATTATTATAGTTACAATTAAATTATGAATAGGAATAAATCTTTTCAAGTGATGCTTCAAGCAAAATAAGTACAAGTCAAACAAGGCCTGTTACAAATGAGCAAAAATGTTTTAAAAATGTTTCTTCATAGTTAACACTGACCAAAGTTTCTTCAAAAATCAATATTGATAACGGATTTCTAAATGTACTTTTTCATACTTCCTCTTTGATACAATCGATGGCTTAAGCTACCTTAATTTCTTTCTTTAAACAGCCTCACTATTAAGAACCTAGGTTTTAAAAAACCCTTTATTGTATGTATCTTTACACACGCTGCAGCGCAAGACTCCAACGGAACAAAGAAAAAGACTTCACTCCCCTCAGTTATTCATACTACAGACTACTTATCCTTTTGACCTATAACAAGGAAAAGTCTTGGAGAAATAGATTCATAACAGACTTGATCAATAAGTCTAGAAGTTCCACAGGACAGCAAGTCATCTATCTATTCCTAAAGAGTTTATCATTGGAATGATCAAATGCATATTCTTTAAGTAAAAACTGGGGAAATAATTTAAGTTATGAAAAAGTTGTGACAAATTTAAAATATGGATGCACTGTTACATGTTTATTTAGCAAAGATGACTTGGAAAAGGAGATTCACATACTTCCACTGTATCCTCCAGGTAAGTTTTCCTTTTCTTCTGCAGACCTCTCCACGTTACAGTCAACTACAGAACGTGGCTCATGTTCACTCGGGGCTTCGCCTTCAGAGGAGTTTGATATTTTGGAAGTGGTACCTTCGTCCTGTGTGCTTTTCAGACCAACCGCTTCTTTCACTTCTTCAAGGATTCCTTCCAAAGGAGTTAAATCACCATCATGTCCTTTTGGAAGAGCGGGGTCCTCAAAGGTGTAAGAAAAGCCATTGCCCTCTGGCCATGCGTCTTCTTTCTGCTGAGGCCCAGCCTGTCTACAACACCTTAAGGTTTCTTCAGGGCCAGAGGATTCCTCAGAAGTCACGCAACTCAAAGTTGCACGGCCTTCTCCGTTTGCAGTTTTCTGAGGACTGGAGATGGTTTTTGCTGTGAAACTGGTAATGTCAACTGTTCTGGTTTTTTTACCAACGCAGGAAAAATCAGACATTTCAAATATGCTTGTTCTCTCCTTCTTAGAAAGACTTCTGCAGCTGAACTGAGCAGGGTTTGACGGCAGCTGAGATTTGGGAGGAAGATTCTCTGAATTCCTTTCCTTAAGATTATCAGGTGAAAAATAGTCATCATATGAATCCCCACAGCTAAGAGCCTCGAGTGCAGGTCCCGCCATGCGCTGCAGGCTGCCTTCTGACCTACACAGCTGCAGCCTCGGCATGATAGATCTCCTGATGCTCCTCTTTCTCTTGCATTTTTCCTTTGGAGGTGAATGGAAGCCATATGATACTCTCTTTCTCTTTACTGAGGAACTCCTGGGTCTTGAATGTATCAAAAGGTGGCCTTTTGTTGAAGACAACGTAGGAGACAAACGATACTTCTCTTCAAACGTCTCCTGAGACATACCTGCAGCCTGCTTTTGGTCAGGGGTGACTATTTTACCCACAATATTTCTTTGCAAGTTTATTTCTTCCTTTGAAAGATTACTCAGAAATTTCTGAGGACTTGATTTATCAAGGTGAGCGAAAGATGGTGATAAATGAGTATTATTTGTTTTCAATACAAGTGAAGAAATACACATATCACTTTTAGTGTCATTAATGGATCCTCCCAACTTCCTTTCCTGATTTCCACATCCTGAGTTTCCACAAAGATCATCAAAAGACGAGTGTAAGCCACCAGCAATGGATTCATCTGGAAAACATTAACGGAGAGCTAACTTTTAAAAGTGGTTTAAATTATTCTAAATTCAATTTTCAGTTGACCAATAAAACATTACTTTTAAAGTACAGCTATTAGTTAAGAAGACTATTAACCACATTTGGGTTCTTCTCATTTCCATTTAAGAGTAAGTTTTAGGCCAGTATTTTTAACTAGAAAACCTGGGCTTTGATGAGTGTATAGGACAGTGGTGGGGATAGAGAAGAGGGGTAACAAACTTCTAAAAATTTTAGGCAAATTTCCATATGCACGTGCACATTTTCCCGGAAGAGCTTCCATAGTTTGTCGCTAAATTTTCCAGGAGATCAATAATTCTAAAACCTAAGAACGACTGCTGTAAGGTCTAGGGAAAGTCCTAGTCTTGTGTGAAACATTCCCTCAATGAACATAGCTCACCTTTACCTTCCCTGTCTTCCAGTGAAGTCCTCGTATGACACTTATATTCAAAAGTGAGCCATTTGGTAGGTCTTAATGTTTCAGCTCTTGTATAGCTTACTCATTTCCTGAGAGTAATGCTAAGCTGCTGCTACCTCCTGAAAATTCTGTACTCCTCTGTACCCGCCGGGCCTTGCCCTTTCCTCCACACTTTATTCTAGGTAAATACAATTCATCCTTCAAAACCCACCTGGGTTGTCAACATCCCTGGGACCCTCCCACTGCCCTTGCCAGGTCTCCCTGGCCTTGCCCCCTCTGCTACACAGCATCATGCATCATACCGCCCCGTAGTATACGTGGGTGTCTGCCCATCACTATGCTATCGGCTACTAAAGGTCAATTGATTTTGGAATAAATATAAAGAAGTCTCTAGTCTTGTGCTGGCTCCCCTAGTAGGGGCTTAGCGCTTGCTGGTGGAGGGCCTGTGTTTTGTAGAAATCACGCAAATCTGGAGGTAACATAAGTGTTATAAGTCTCTGACTGAAATCACTAAAGTTCTGCTTTAAAAAGGAAGAACACAGGTAACCACCAAAGCTTCCCTTCCGACTGTGCCCCGGGAGGGGAGGGAAGCCCAGTGGGGAGGAGGCACCATGCATGTCTTCAAGGCAGTAGTTGGAAATAAGGTCATAAAGCATCTAAAATTGCTTTATGTTTTATCATACTTTTCAAAAACCCGATAAGCAATGTGACATGTCACTAAGACTGTAAACTGTGATGTCAGACTGCCTAAGTTAGAAGCTTGGGTTTGCCATTCACAAACCACATGACCTTGCACAAGCTGTTTGACCTCTGTGTCCTGGTTTTTCACTGGCAAAATGGGATGGTGATGGAACCTACCTCTTAAGGCTAATGGGAGAATAACTCAGATAACAGTGAGTAAGACACTTAGAGGAGTGCCTACAACACAACAAAAATGAAATCAATGTTAGCTATTATTATCACTTGTTTCCAACTTCTAGGAAATAAATGTATCAAGTATAAAATAAAAAGATGGAGACTGTTTAAGAGAAATGGGTAAATAATTCCAGCACACAGAGGTGAGAGTACAAGGATTAACCCTGCACTGAAAAGAGGCTTTGGTTTAAACTTTTAATATCTTGATGCCGTCTTGTGCTTTGTCATTGCTGTGGCTTTCATAATAAACATTCCATAACATCTCAAGTACTTTCGAACACAGTACTTCTAGGGGTCGCTGCTACTTATTTGGGCCCTACTGGGGGCTAGGTGAGAAAACTGTAAGAAATTGGTACGAAGAAGAAATGACCATGAACAATTATCATCCTAAGTGACACAAGGGCTCCCACATTAAAAAATATGTATGTGCATAACATGTAACTAACTGCATTAATTCTTACCAATGTTCTTTCTGCTTGTAATTAGAAATCCTCTATTTAGCTCCTCAATTGATTGACGATCTTTACATACTTCACTGACCTCGTTCAATAACATGTTCCTTGTGTTAATTAGACATTGTGTGAAACAACATTTCCTTAGCTCTGACCTCAGTTCTATGTAGTTTAAACTGCATACAGATTAGTTCATATATGACCACAATAATTTTTTTAAATGAGCAATGGATTCTGTAGCAAGAAAGCAAATGCCTAGGGAAAAAAACCTATAGGAACCAAAAAGGAAGTTTAACTCATGCCTTAATTTTATTATAATACCTAATTTCAGGGGGATATTTAGAAGTTCTAGTTTTAACTAATTATTTTACTCATCAGACGTTGCTACATGAAATTCTAAATCAGAACTTAAATATATCACAGAAAGGAAAATAAAAAATTTACCTGAACACAAAGTATCATGTGAAATGTTCAAAGGTGCTTCACACAGAGAGTTACTTGGATTATCATGAGACTGTTGAATCATTTGGGAAGCTAAAAACAGGACCAAGACACTGCATTAAAGTTTCAGTATTTTTTAGCAGATGAAGCCAGCAGGAAATCCTCCTATTAATCATAGGTGATTCTGTTAAATCCTATAATCACAAAGTTAGAAGGGATCTTAAAGTCAGCTTGCCTAAATATAAATCAGAAGCTCAACAGAGTTAAGTGAACACTTCCTGTCTATTTTAGTCTTCTTGTTTGATAATCATGGCTTTTTCTTCAAGGATGCTCACCATAGTTACCTCTAAAACTAGAGCACTGCTTCTCAACCAGGGTGACATGGGGTCCCAGCAGATAGCTGGTAATGTCTGGACACATTTGTGGATGTTGCCAGTGAGGGAGAGCAGTGGGTACGTTGCTAGTGTTAGTGGGGAGAGGCAGGGATGCTGCTGAGCTTCCTGCCACACACAGGGCAGTGCCCCCAGCAAAGAATTACCCAGACCCAACTGTCAGCTGTGCTGTGTTGAGAAATCCTAGAGGTTTCACAGAAAACACTTAGGATGTCAATGACTTAACAAATAAGGTCCTAAGTATTATCTTCAAAGGCTGTTCATACAATAGTCAAGAAACAAATGTTTGGATCTCATATCCAAAGATATTTTTTAGAGACTCAAAATGATACTTTTCTGAGAAAACTTCAGTCAAAAAGAGAATAAACCAAGATAAAGAAGGGAAGCACACATCAAATTTTCAGTTAAGTTTTAAACTGTGCTGGATGCAGTGAAGTAGCAGAATTAACACTGTAAATAGAAAAAGTAAAGTTTAAGGCAAATTACTTTATACGCATAATTGCACATTGGAACAATTTGGACGTCTACCTGGGACACAGTTATCTTCCTCAATGTCCATTCTCACTTCTTCTTAACAACAGAACTTTGATTTTATCAGTATAGCAATGCATCCCAGTCAAGACTACATTTCAGTCTTGCCTGCAAAACGGGTGGGCATATGACCACATTCCAGCCAACGGAATTAGACAGGAGTATTGGATAGACGTCTGGTAAGGCTGTCAAAGGGAGATGGCTTAGCTGGGAGGCACACACATTTTGGAAGAAAAGTCAGGCAGGCCTAACAGAAAGATGGGAACCTAGTTTCTTAAAGACACCATGGAATGGCATCCCAGCCCTGACTGCCTACTTCTGAACTAGGCAAGACAGAGAAAGGCAATTCTATCGATTTTAAGTCACTGGTTTTTTTCTTTCTTTGTTATATGCAGCCGAAACTAACCTTAACTGATATAGATGGACAAAGGATGTAAAATTAAGAGAGACAATAGTTGATAGCATTACAAGCTGCATTCAGTAAGTCATTGTCAATAGTATGAAAAGGCACTGAAACTTGCCCCTAATCAAAAGTAACTTAGAGAACAGATCCAGTTTTTCTTTTTTTTTTTTTTTTTTTTTTTTTTGAGACAGAGTCTCGCTCTGTCGCCCAGGCTGGAGTGCAGTGGCCGGATCTCAGCTCCAGTTTTCAAGCTTCCGACTGAAAAAGGCTACAGGCTAATGCCATTCAGTTTTCCAAGTATGGAGAAAGAGGCATTCTTATAAACAACTGATGACAATAAAATGGCCCAAATCTTTTGAAGGATAATTTGACTATATCTATCAATAAGCCAGGGGTAGTGGCACACACCTGCATTCCTAGCTACTTGAGAGGGTGAGGCAGAAGTACTTGAGCTCAGGAGTGCAAGTCCTGCCTGGGCAAGACAGTGAGACTCTCTATATCTTTAAAAAATCAAATTCTGCATGTATGAATATTATTGAAATACATGAAGTACTCAGAAATATAAGGATTCACGTAGGCGCATGCAGGGGTTATAACAGTAAAAAGTCAGGGTGGGAAGCTGGAAAGACTTATGTCCAGAGAAAGGAAAATGGCTTAATAAAAAAATAACCACCAACCTATATGGTTAAAAAAAGAATAAAAACTGCAGCACGATTTCTAATAAAGAAAAAGTGGGAAAAAATATCCACCAATAGATGAGTCAATATCAAAGCTGAAGACTACTTAGAGCATCTTTTAAAAAAAAAATAGCTCTACAACAACTAAGCTGCAAAAAAACCTCCAGGATACTCTTAAGTAAGAAAACAAAGTGCGTAATAATACATATGTCATTATCTAATTTAGGTAATTAGATAACTTACACAGAAACAGAAATGACACCTCCACACAGAAAACAAACCTGTATCTTTTTCATGTATACACAGATATCTGATACACTGAAACAGATCTGGAAAAACACATCAACTTAAAATACAGGTTATCCCCAGGTAGAAGAGTATAATTAGGTGAGTATCAAGATGAACTTTTACTATTAGCTACTTTGTTAAATGTTTTATTAAAATGTGCTGAATTATACTTCAGTAATTAAAAATTTTAAAGATAAAAGAAATAATGAGAAACAAACTGATTCATTAGACACATTTAATCTAAAGCAAATTCCTTCAAAAGACACGATTCATGGCTGGGCACGGTGGCTCATGCCTGTAATCCCAGCCGTTTGGGAGGCCGAGGCGGGTGGATCACCTGAGGTTATGAGTTTAAGACCAGCCTGGCCAACATGGTGAAACCCCATCTCTACTAAAAATACAAAAAAACAAAAAAAATTAGCCAGGAGTGGTGGCCGGCACCTGTAACCCCAGCTACTCAGAGGGCTGAGGCAGTAGAATCACTTAAACTCAGGAGGTTGCAATGAGCCCAGATTGCACCACTGCACTCCAGCCTGGGTGACAAATGCAAAACTCCATCTCAGAAAAAAAAAAAAAAAAAATTCATTTTGTTTTTAAAAAAGAAAGAAAAAATTCCAAAGCTAATAGAAATTACAAAGGAGCTACAACAAACAGGATTTTAAACTTGAAGAATACTATACACCCAACACAACTTCAAAAATCTTAATGATGCATAACATTTTCTGGAAAACAAAGCCAGCCATGAAATAGGTCAAAATTTGTTACTATCAGGAAACATTAAAATATCTAGGCAAAGAAAAAAAAAAGGTTTCCACCATAATTTAATCACCTATTTGCATAATTTTCATTTTACAAACTGTAATTACTTACAGGTGGGGGAAAGATTTTCCCTTTTCTCCTTCATCTCTTGTAATCTCTTCTCCATTGCACTGTGGTGACTACTATTAATTTTAATTGTAGGACTATATGTTAATGAACCATTAGATTCAAATAAGAGAATAGGTACATCATCATCTGAAAACAAACAAAAAATCCACTTTAAGATCAAAAAGCGCCTTCATACTTCAATATGATTCCTTTTAAGGAACAACCCCCAACACCCCATTTTCCTTCTTCCCTTTCAACATCATTACCTACTTCTGCTAATATTCTACCCCCACCACCTCCACAGGCAGTGACGTTGCTGCTACAGCTGCTGGCTCACATCTGCTGAGCAACTGCCCTCACCAAGTACTGTGCTAAGAAAATATATGCATTAGTGCATCCAACCTCAAACCCAAACTAGTAACCCCACTTAAAAACAAAGACTGAGACACAGAAGTTAAAAGTTGCAAAGCTGGAATGCAATTTGGTTTCTGTTTCTTGTCCCAGGTTTCAGAAACTGCTCCCATTAACCATCGCTCCTACCCTCAACACACACTCACAGACTCAGACATGAACCTGACTGCATGAAGTGGGATCAGCATGGTCCCAGAACCATGAAATTATGAGCTCGTTTTGTGTGGGTGCGGTTGTGTTTTTTTCTGGAATGCTACCTTGCATATGCTCAAGGAGCCCTTCAGTACTTTCATACTCACTCCCAACAAAAAAATACCAAGAATCATTTAATATCTTCTCCTTTGCAACTCTTAAGCCTGAATAATCCTTACTGTAGTTCTGACAATATACAAATGTACATTAGTTGAATCATTAATACTTCATATGTATGGTTTTTAATTACGATACATATTTGGTCTAAGAAGAAAATTTTGTATCTATCATTACCATGTTGTCAAAATATTTTCAAACACACTGTCACTGATATAGGAAAGAAGGCCAAAGTGACAAAAGTATAAAGAGTTATAGGAGAGTGTGTAATATTGATATGAGGCTAGGAGAGGCCAGATCATAAAGGACCTAGAAAATTGGAGAATATGTTAAATACAGGATTTTATCCTGAATATTTTTCCTTGGGATGATACCAAGAAATTTTAAACCAGGAAGGGGATATCCTTCTGATTTAAGGTTTTCCTCATTGTGACTGCAGCACAGAGATGAACTGTAAGGACAGAGTGGAGGGCAGGGTAAGGAGTGGCTCCTGTGGTGCAGGAGGGATGATCCAGGCATCAGGGGAGAGAGCAGGTAAGGAGAAAACAGAAGAAGTCAAACAACTATTTCAGAAGCAGGGCCATGGTCTTGATGGGCATTAGTGTCAGGAAGGAGGAGATGTCAAGGACGATTGCATGTTTCTGACTTCACCTTCGACGAAGACCAGACAGCTGGTGTGAAGGAAGGACGGACACACACCAGGAGAGGCAGCAGGAGGGCTGAGCATGAAACAAATGATGCAGGCCATGTTTCTGGAAAGTTACGTGGCAGCACTACATAGGCTAACTGTTCTACCCAATTCTGTAGCATTATCATCACAGATTTAAAATAAATCTTGGCCGGGCGCGGTGGCTCACGCCTGTAATCCCAGCACTTTGGGAGGCTGAGGCAGGCGGATCACAAGGTCAAGAGTTTGAGATCATCCTGGCCAACATGGTGAAACCCTGTTTCTACTAAAAATAAACAAATTAGCTGGGCGTGGTGGCCAGGATGGTCTCGATCTCCTGACCTCCTGATCCACCCGCCTCAGCCTCCCAAAGTGCTGGGATTACAGACGTGAGCCACCGTGCCCAGCCCATAATATTCTTATATATAAAAATATTATTTAAGAATATATACATAAGAATATATATATTTTTTCTAAGACATCTTGTTACAGCACATAATATTCTAAAGTATTTTTCCAAATCACTAAAAGAATGTATCATCTAAGATTTGCCTATTCCGGGTAACAAAACAAAAAGGCCAATTAGGTAAAAATACAAAGTTATATATAAAGAAGAAATAAATAGGTATTTATTTCAATAAAGCTTATTAGCCAAAGTTTGCTTTTCTTCTGAAATCATTCCTGAAAATAAAAAGTTCGACCACCTTGATGAATGGTTAAGACTGTGGTCGATCAGCTCAGTTGCATGGCTCTATTCCGGCTCCCAGTCAAGTCTCCCGTAGCCTCCTGACATTTGGTCTTCTCCTTCCTAGAGTAAAGCTACGACAGCCTCCATCAGCTCTCTCATCCTGAACACCACCAGTCATCATGCAAATTAAACAAGGTGTATGGACACAAATGCAAAGAACTGTATTAAATTTCTTAGCTTACCTAGACTTGTTTTTTGCCTTTGTAGCTCTTTAGCCATTTTCTCAAATTTCTTCTGAAATCTCTTATCATTTTCTGGTGTTTTAAAATTAAAATCTTTGGGCTGCATACATTTACGCTGTGCAAAAAGAACACAAAAATTAATGCTGTATTGCAACTGCTTAAGACAGGAGAAAAAGCCCTTTCGCATACATTTCTGATACCTTTTATAACATCAGTAATAAAAACTTCTGAAAGAGGTGTTTCTTGCACTGTATGTGAATTGGCAATATTTATTTCTTTTTGTGCAATTATAAAGAAAATGGATAGAATTTAAAAGACTGTATAAAAGGCTCTGTATTATGCTTTGTGAGACATTTTCATGATCCTAGCATTCTTAGTTTTCCATGAAAGTTTTTAGCCAGTCTCTTTAGATTTTTTGCTATTGTTACCACCAAACCAGCCCAATCTAGTTCAACTTTGTGTATCAAAATGGTGAACTGTTTAATTGCCCTGGCCCCCGATGTGACAAGTTATGTCACTTGCACATGCCCAGGTGAAACAAGCATGTAACCACAGGTGGAACCTAAGCATTTAGACCAAGGAACGGGGGGCCAAATTAAGGAGGAAACACCTGATGGCATAATCTAGGATCCAATCAGATTCAGCCCTAGCATCACCTTGGGACACAACCCAGTCAGATGACGCCTCCCAGCATCACCTGGTTGCAAGATCCAATCAGATCACACTTCGTTTTCTCTGCCTATGAAACTGCCTGAGTCCCCATCTCAGGGAGGCAGATTTGAGCATTTCTTCCTGTCTCCTTGCCAGGCAACTTGCAATAAAGCCTTTCTTTTCTCAAAAGCAAGTGGCATGATCTTGGACTCTATGTGGGTTGGGCAGCAAGCCCATTGCCTGCTTGGTAGCACTATTCTCACATCGTCCTCCCTGCAAGACCATGACGCAGTAAGAAAACAATTTTTATTTTATAATTACCAAAGAAAAGAACCATTATTATTCTTGCCCTACTATCATTAAATCACAGTAGCTCCAATCAGCCAGTAAAACCCCAAAACTATGACTACACTCACAAAAACATGAAACCCCAGGTTGATATCCACAGGAAGATCGTGGGTTAACTCTACTCTTACCATCCTCAGAGAGGGGAAATGTTTCGTTTGAAACACACCTCACAGTCCCAGCCTTATCCACATTCTCTTCTTGGAACTGCCCATTGACTTCCCATCTTTAGCCCGGCCATCAGCACAAATACACATACTGAACTTCACATCGATTTTACCTACTAACACTTTTATGCCTGACTTCTTTCTTACAGGACCCCAGGGTAATTTAAGTCATCTGTCTAGGTTCCTTGGTTTTCAGCTTGAAGCTGCCAGCCCAAACTTGCTTACATAGGGAGCTAGCTACCCATGTAAAAGCTAACTTCTTTTGCTTCAGTCTTATAGAAAGAACTTCTTTTAGCTATTTAAGGCTAATGCCTATACTGGGATCTTGCTCTGTTAGTTATTCACTGATTTATTGACAAAAAACATGATTATATGTCAGGCGCTGGTCTTGCAACCTAGAAAGATCCTTGTCATCATGGAGCTTGTATGCTGGTAAGGAATGACAGAAAATAAACATAATAAGTAAGTAAATTGTATGTGTCTTGGGAGGTTCATTTCAACAGGCTTGGAACCGGCCTGCACTGCTTTCACTAAAGTACCTGCACTACACACAATGTACTAATTAGGCAGTGGTGCTTTATAGCCACAGGTCCGGGAAGTCTGGGGACAACTGCGCTGGCCTGTCAACATTGTTTATGATTAGTGAGACGAAGGATTTGCCTGGAGGCTCCGCCAGTGGGGCTGGTTCATATAGACTCAGGGCCAGCAGTATACAAGAAGATGCTCCACCTTGTGCTCCCTGGTTCTCAGGTACTGTGCAGATTGGATACATTGTTATTTTGGGGTCCTGTGAATCTTCTCTAGCAACTGTATTCCATCAAACTGCCCACATTACTACAGTGTGTTAGGAGGAGCCAGTCAGCATTGCAGATGAAAAGAGACTCTCATAGTTGGCACAAGTGGGAAGGAATTGCTGGTACAAACAGGGGTGGCAGGATAGGTCTCACAGAGAAAGTAACATCTGTACAAAGCCATAGGGAGGCTGGAAAACGGGTCATGTGTATGGATTTTGGGGGAAGAATGTTCCAGACAGAGGGAACAGATAATACAATGGCTCTGAAATAGAAACACGATTGGCATGCTTGAGGAACAGCAAGCTGGGCAGGCAGGCGGCAGGCAGGCAGCAGACAGGGTGACAGGGGAGACAGATGCACAGAACCTCCTCAGAGACCCAAAAGAATAAGGCCTCAAGTCAGGTTTAATTTGCAATTACATTTGGAAAAGAGAAGGAAAGGGAAAGTTTTTAGACATGAAAATTAAAGTGGTAAAGTGTATGAGCAGTCATTAATGCTTCAGATTAGGAAAAATTAAAAAGATTAGTAATATCCAATACCAGTCAGAGTATTAAGAAATAGCTTGTTTTTTCTTTTTTTTTTTTTTTTTTTGAGAAAGAGCCTTGCTGTCGCCCAGGCTGGAGTGCAGTGGTGCGATCTGGGCTTACTGCAACCTCCACCTCCTGGGTTCAAGCGATTGTCCTGCCTCAGCCTCCTAAGTAGCTGGGATTACAGGTGTGCACCACCAGGTCTGGCTAATTTTTGTATTTTTAGTAGAGACAGGGTTTTGTCATGTTGGCCAGGCTGGTCTCAAACTCGTGGCCTCAACTGATTTGCCCGCCTCGGCCTCCTGAAGTGCTGGGACTACAGGTGTGAGCCACTGTATCTGGCCAAGAAATAGGTCATCTTGTATATGATTGGTGGAACTGTTAAAATCAAAATGTGTATGTATTTTGACCCAGTAATTTTATCTCTAGATATCTGACTTGGAGAAATAAACTCAAATATGTGGCATAAGTAATATACTTAGCAAAAACTGACAGTGACTAAAAGTACATGAATACCGGAAAAGCACAGTCACAATGTATAATGCAATACAGAAAACTGAGTAGAGTCAAAGCTACTGACACGAAATGGTCAAAACTATATTGTTAACTGGGGAAGAGAAGATAACTCACCAGACGATATACATAAGATAGCAGAGCCCCTTCATGTCAAGCATGCATGTGTGTGTACATGTGTGTAATGTACTGAAGAAATGCCACCCAGGATACTCATCAAATTGAAAGCTGCTTACTTTGAGGGAGGGCAATCAAAGAGATGTCTGTGTTTACTAAATGTTTTACAATGAAAATATGCATGTACTACTGATCTGTTTTTACAATAAACACTTGATTTTAGCATGTCACAGGGAGTCCAGAGACTGCTGAACACTTTTTCACTTATAACCAGGTAAGACTGAAGGAAGTTCATCCATCACCGCATGGGCAAACTATGGCTTGTCTGAGATGAAATGTAATGGGGAAATATCATTTACTGTTTTCAGGAAATGTTATTTCTCCACAGTTATTTCTCCTCTGGTCTACAGGAAATGTCAAGTTCAGTTTGGAGACAGTCATCAAATCCTCCCTCTGACAGAGACGCTCATGTGAAAACAGCCTGGCTGTGACGTTTCAGAGTAAACTCTCCTCAGATAAAGAAATCACAATTAGAAATAGAAAGCCGAAAAGGTGGTGGTTAAAATATGAATTCGATCTCAAACGAAAGCAGTATCTTTAACTCTACAGTTCGTCCTCCGTATCTGCAAGTTCCAGATCTATGGATTCAACCAGTCACGATTGGAAATATTCAAAAGAAAAAAAAAATCAACACGAATTTAAAAAAATACAGTATAACAACTATTTACAAAGCAATCACATTGTATTAGGTATTTTAAGTACTCCAGAGATTACTTAAAGTACACGGGAGGAGCCAGGTGCAGTGGCTCACGCCTGTAATCCCAGTTGGGAGGCTGAGGCGGAAGAATCACTTGGGGCCAGGAGTTTGAGACTAGCTTGGGGAACACAGAAAGACCCCGTCTCTACAAACAATTTTTTCTTCGGTATACAGGAGGATCTGTGTAGGTTACATGCAAATACTATGGCATTTTATATAGGGGACTTGAGCATCAGTGGATTTTGGTATCTGTGGGGGTCCTGGAACTGATCCTCTGTGGATACTGAAGGGCAACTGTATTTGTACAGCAGATTTTCCTCATAAATGACTTTGCACACTTGAATGTACGTCCATCAGACTTTTGAGATTTTTCTGGCTAAACAGAATGCAGGTATTTTGACTACAGATATAACACATTTCATTCTGAAGTAATTACCAAAGCACCTAAACGTTTGCTTGTCTCTTGGCACTTTTTAGTTTTCCCATGGCCAACCACAGTCTCTTCCATTTCCTACAAACGCTATTGAAGAAGTCATAGGATAAAATAATCTCTGTAATTCACTAAAAAATGCTATGTGAAAAGAATAATATCATCAATAGCATACTTAAGACAACTCTTGAACATATTTCTAGAAGTTTTATTTTCTAAAAATAAAAAATAAAAATGAATAAATTCCTAATTGCTATTATCTACATTGAAATCATGTACTTACTTTTTTTTTAATTAGGCTTGGTAAGTGTTCATTCGTATTAGCTGCAGGGAACAACGATTCATCAATGTGTGCTCCAGCTGTCCTGCATCTGTGTAATTAAATTAAGGTAATCTAATGAGTGTTTGTTTCTATTATACATTGACACAGCACTAAATCTGCACATGTATTAGCAATTTAAAAAATCCATACCTAAGTCATTTTAACAGACTTAAAAAAAATACAACAGCAAATACAAAAGTCAGTATAAATCAAACTTCCCAAAATCATCTCTATCTGGTGTTTAAGTATAAGAGAAGCAAGAGGCAGGTAAAGGAAGTACAATTTTTATGCAACAATTTTTGACTTGTAGCATACTTCAAAATTATGAGTGCACAGACTCATAAAGGTATGAATAAATGCTATCAAATGGATCATTTAATAGTAAACAGGCCATAAAACAGATAATTTAGAGGTAGAAGGATGTAAAGAAATTGAAGTCAGAGGACATCTCTTTCCTCCAAAATTAGGTTGTCCTTTTTGTTTTTCTGTCCAGACAGCACCACCGTCAGCCCTAAGGCCTGGGTGTGCAACCAATGCTCCGCATTGCCAAGCCTCCTCCTCCTGCCCCGTGGCCACACCTGCCATTTCTCCTGTCCACCTTCGTATCTCTGGATTCCTGTGACCCTTATCCCTTCTTAGCATTTTGTCACTCAAGTCTAAATAATTATGATTTTCTAAATGATCTCCTGCCCTACTGTTTGTTTCTCCTCTACTAATTCACTCCTACATTACTGAAATATTAATCTTAAATTTCTCCCCAACCCAGATAAAAACCTTCTGTCACTCCCATGTTTAGAGCATATTCTCACTCATTCGCTGTTTAAGTGTTTTTTATAATAAGGCCTCTATTCACCTCTCCAACTATCCCTCACAGGCCTATCACTGTTCAACATCTAACACACAGTTATTAGAAAAAATAAAGTATACTGCAATAAAAAAACACATATCCATATTGATACAGAAATTTCTACAAAATATATTAGGAATGAAGGAAGTTTCAGAAATATGTGCCTCTATAGGGTACAGTATGGTCTGTGCAGTGTGGTAAGTAACACTAGGGTAGTGAATCTCACCCTGGCGTCCCTGACCCCCTTCTGAGGGTGTGCAGAGTCAGTACTATCTTTATAACAACACTAACACGTGATTTTCTTTTCCTGTCTCGCGTTATTTCCTCAATATACGATGCAGTGGAGTTTTCAGAAGCCAAATGACATGTGCTATCCCAATACACTGAATGCAGAGGCAGATATGAGAAGGCAACTGTCTTCTAATAAGCCAAGCATCAGAGAAATCTGCAAAAATGTACAAGTTTAAAAAAGAATACAGTGTAGTAATTGTAACCAGAGAAGTACAACTGGCAGAAAAGCAGCAAAAAGTTGCAAAACGAGTATGGTTCAGAGAAAGTTTCAGGTCAGAGACAATCACCAGACTCAACTCTGACAAGGAGGCAGATGTGGGAGGGCACAGATCTTCCACCCGGAAGCAGAGCACAGACTCAAGCACAGTGCAGCAAAGAGCGCGACATTTTTGGGAAAACATACACCATTTGTATGACTGAGTGAATGAATGCAAGTTAGGAGACCAGCAACAAAAAAAGAATTTATGTGATTCCAAGGGTTGTACTTTCTAAGCTAACGAGCTTGGACCCCGTCCTGTGGACTCTGGGGTATGAGGACAGGTGTGAGGGAGGGGTCGTGGGCAGGTCACCCGTCCAGGACGAGGAGGCCAGTCAGGGACTACTGCAATAAGTGAGGCAGGAGACGCTAAAGATTCAGTAAAGGCAGTTGGGGACTAAGATGAGGAGGGGGAATCCTTAAGTGAATAATATTTAGACAATAAAAATGGAAGGTTTTTGACCTCTGGTTAAATCTGGTGGACTGCGCACACGCTTTTCTCTTGACCCCCAAAACTCCAATAAAATGACAGTAAAGGAAAACAAAAAGACATAAACCAACAAAAATAAAGAGTAGATAAGAGCTGTCTGGGGAACAGTAATCAAACAAATAAATAAAAAAAGAGAAACCCAAGCCTGGCAGCTGGGGTGGGGAGGAGTCCATCTGGAGCTCAGAACCCGGAGCTCAGAACCGCTCAAGGGCAGGAGGCACAGGTGAAGCCAGAGCACTCGGGTGGGGCAGGGGGCAGAGGACAGCAGGCAAAGGGCAGAGGGTGGAGGGTGGAAGGCTGAAAAGAGGCAGCAACTCTCCTTGCCCGTGCCCACTCACTGCCACCCAGTGCCCAATGGGGGCACTGGGACCATGTTCAGATAACTGGAGCCTGAGAAGCTCTGGACTCAAAGGACACCAGGCCAAGCTCAGGGAAAACAAAAAGTTTTCCATGAAAGGAAATATATTCATGGTTCACTCTGAGATTCAGCCTAACACACAGCTTCCACAGTCATAATGATGTAAACATAAACTACTGATTTAACCAAAATGTATCATGTACACTGCAATCAAGAGTGGAAAGAGCCTGCACATGAATGTGTCCATGCAAACAGCAGATGCGCGTAGGTGGGAGTGGGATGCCCTTGGAGGGTCCGATTAAAAACGAAATTCTCACTTCCCTATCAGAAAGTCACTAGATAATATCTGAAACTGAAAAACCAAAACAGCAATACAGCCACAGTATTTAGAAATATGGAGGTCACTGAACAGCTTATCTGCAGAAGCAGCCACATGTGTGAAAGGAGCTGCCTCTGGGGAACAGGAATTGAGGGTGAAAAGGGTCAAGAAAGGGACCGTTGTTTTTCATGATAAGCCTTGTAATACTGGTTCTTCGTGTGTGTGTGGGCGCGCGTGTGTGTGCATACAATGGAACATGATTCCACCATAAAAAGAAATGCAGTTCTAATACAGATGACAACATGATGAACCTTGAAAACATTATGCTAAGAGAAAGAAGCCAGACACGAAGGCCGTATATTATATGATTCCGCTTATGTGAAATATCCAGAAAAGGAAAATCCACAGAGAAAGAAAATCCATAGGGAAAGAAAATAGACTAGTGGCTGCCTTGGCTGGCGGGAGAATGGGGAATAGGGCTAAGGGGTACAAGGTTTCATTTTGAGGTGATGAAGATGTTTTAAAATTGTGGTGACGGTTGCACAACTCTGTGAATACAGTCATATGCCGCATAACAACCTTTTGGTCAATGAGAGACCACATACACAACAGTGATCACATAAGGTTATAATGGAGCTGAAAAATTCCTATCGCCTAGTGACATACTGATGTTCCTAACCCCGTGTAGGCCCAGGCTAACGTGTGGCTTTGTGTCCTAGTTTTTTTTTTTTTAAGTTTAAAAGTAAAAATTAAAATTAAAAAATAGAAAAAGCTGATAAAGCTGTAAGGTATTTTTATACTGCTGTACAATGTATTTTAAGGTGTTATTACAAAAGAGTCAAAAAATTTAAAAAATTACAGTTTATCATGTAAAAAAGCTATAGTAAGGCCAAATTAAAAAAAAAAAAAATACAGCATAGGCAAGGTGCGGTGGCTCACAACTGTAATCCCAACACTTTGGGAGGCCAAGGCGGGAGGGTCAGGAGTTCAAGGCCATCCTGGCTAACATGATGAAACCCATTCTCTACTAAAAATGCAAAAATTAGTCGGGCGTGGTGGCGTGTGCCTATGATCCCGGCTACTCAGGAGGATGAGTCAGGAGAATCGCCAGGAGGCGGCGGCTGCAGTGACCCAAGATCACGCCACTGAACTCCATTCTGGGCAACAGAGTGAGACTCCATTTCAAAAAAAAAATACAGTATAATAACTATTTACATAGCACTCATATTGTATTAGGTATTATAAATTACCTAGCGGTTTTTTCCCCCCCCCACCACACATAACAGAGAGATAGGTTACATACTTATGGGAGGAGCCAGGTGCAGTAGCTCCTGTGTGCAATCCCGACATTTTGGGAGGCAGAGGTGGGAGGACCGTTTGAGGTCAGGAGTTGGAGACTAGCTGGGGCAATGTAGTAAGACTGCCATCTCTACAAAAATAAATAAATAAATAAATAAATAAATAATTAGCCAGTCATAGTGGCACACACCTGTAGTCCCAGCTCCTCAGGAAGCTGAGGCAGGAGGATTGCTTGAGCCTAGGAGGTTGAGGCTACCGTGAGCCATAATTGTGCCACTGCACTCCAGCCTGGGAGACAAAGCAAGACCTTGTCTCTAAAAAAAGTTATAGTATCAGTTAATACAGTTGCTCCAAAAAATATACATCCAGTGTAACCTAAGTGTATGACAAGTATAAAGTCCATAGTAGTGTACAGTAGTAATGCTCTAGGCCTTCACATTCGCTCACCACTCACTCAACGACCCAGCCACAGCAATTTCCAGTCTAGCAAGCTCCATCCATAGTAAACGCCCTATATAGGTGTACCATATTTTATCTTTTATACCATATTTTTACTGTACCTTCTCTATGTTTAAATATTTCAGAGACACAAATACTTACCACTGTCTTACAAATGCATATGCTGTAGAGGTTTGTGCCTAGGAGCAATAGGTTGTGCCACAGAGCCTAGGTGTGCAGTAGCTATGTCATGCAGGTGTGTGTAAACACACACTATGATGTCTGCACAACAAAATCACCTACCTATTCATTTCTCAGAAGGCATCCCTGTCGTTAAGCAATACCTAACTGTATATTTAAAACCACTGAATTGTACACTTCAATTGGGCAAATTGTGTAGCATGCGAATTAGATCTTTAAAACAATGTTGGAAAAAAAATAAACATGACAAACCACTACACATCCGCTCGAATGGCTAAAATTCAAAAGATGGATAAATTACAAGTATTGGTGAAGACGTGGAGCGAATGGAACCCTCACACTGCTGGTGGGAATATACAGTGCCATTACCGCCTTGGAAAAGTTTGGGTAATGACCCAAGAGAAATGAAAGCATACAAAGACACAAACGTAAATGTCCACTGTAGCTTTATTCATAATAACCTAAAATGGAAAACTAGCCCAATCTCCATCAACTGGTGGCACCGTGCTACATGCTACATGCTACATGCCTGCAATAGAATACTACTCAG